CACATTTAATACACTGCCCCCCCAGCACATATAATAATAAGCTTCCCTCCTCCCTCCCAAGCCCCCCAGCAGACATCATAAAGTTCCTCCCTCCCTCCTTTCCTTCCAAGCCCCCTCACCTGCTTTCATCCATGCAGGGAGGAGGCACATCGTCGTTCCCGGGTGATCTAGCGGTGATCATTAGTAAGGTCTGCACTAGACCTTACTAATGATCCATCATTCGGCCGGAGCTCAGAACTGACAGAGCTCCGGCCGGAGTTGACAGGAGCAGCTCTGCGGTCTGCATCCGTCGGAGATGCAGACCGTGTAGCTGTTCCCGCAAGTCGGGCACGCGGCCGGTTACCGTGTGCCCGACTTGTCAGCTGGCTGCGGGCCACTTAGTACCGACTCGAGGGCCGGAGTTGGTCCGCGGGTCGGTACTTTGAGACCGCTGCTATGCGTTGATACCGGCACTTAAAAATGTTAAATACATTCAGCTGCTGTAAGGTCCTGCACTTGCTGGGCACCTCATGGCAGCCTTGTGGGGACAAGGCAATGTGCAATGATCTAACCTGCTCATCACTCTCAAGTCACACACGTTAAAATACAATAGAGATTGGCACAGAAATGTAGCTTAATTTTATAAAGTTATTTTTACACTGCTAACGATGTATTGAAGTTTGATGGGAAAAAAAGAAGCATGATCTGGAAAAGCCGTTTTTGCTGATCTCCACTGAACTGTATTTCATCAACAAGCTTTTCAGGTCTGACACACATACAGAGTGAATCTGCTTAGCAGGAGAAAGACAAGGCCTAGCCTTTTGCTGGTTTATTTTGGCAAGAAATGTTTGCACCTTTGGACCCATTAACTGGAACTCCCTTCCCAACAGATATCAAAGTGGCCTAATTTCAAATAGAACATTACCCTCTGGCACACAGATTAGGTCTGGACAAACCTTTATTTCATCCCAAAATGCTATTTACTGGTTTACAAAATGTCTGTGAAAATCCAACAAGTTTATGAACCAAGTCCAATTTAAAAATATTCTTAATCTACTTTGCAACAAAGGACCTTAGGGCAGAATGCAGAATAAAATAAATTATCATTATTAAAGAAGATTTATTAATATTTATAAACACATAGGATAATCACTCGTTTTTTTTGTTTAGTTTTAAGCGACGAACTAGATGGCTATGTCAAAACGGAAGGAGCGTGGATGGCAGGTAGACAAAGACAGATATACATGGGTGCAGATGCATTAAGCTGTGCCAAAATATGTGAAAAAGAACAGAAGTTTACTTGTAGGTAAGTTGAAAATGTAAATCAAGTACAACATATGTCACAGTTCCTGTTGTAACACTAGTGCTGTAATAATGCAGCAGGTAAAGCGAACATTTAGCTGAATGTATATGTTAAATATCTGTGATTTTGCTGAATGCTTTATCAATGAAATAACGGCCGAAATGAAGAAAATAAGCTTTGTGAATTGACCCCACTGACAGTTACAGTATTGGACACTTGTTTGAGATGGGGTTTTTCCTAACATCAGTTCAGGTTGAGCCTAGTAGCATAGTTACACCCCATTCATTTTAAATCGAAATATATAAATTCTGAACAAAAAATGTTTAAATAGTTATATAAGATGACGCTATGTTTCTATGATGAGTGCGCTATCCAAAGTAAAATGTGTGACACTGGCACATCTCCTTCTTGTGCAGCAAAATAAATAACATTTGTTAACATTATGGATAGTGTTTAAACTGCCGAAATATATTTGTTAAATATGGCAATTAAACCCTGGCAATTGTGGCAATACATGGAAACAGACCTGGGCAACAAAATGGTAATCATGACAGTAGATGGGCAACAAATATGGGTAACACACAGACAAATGAGAAAAGACATGGGAAACAACAGGCAATTGCGACAATACATGGGCAACAAATAGGAATTTTGACAATACATGGGCAAAAGACAGGCAATAGTGACAAGATTTGTGCAAAAAAATAGGCAGTCATGAAAAAAAAAAAAGATAACTGTGACATACTATGTGCAACAAACAGGCAATTGTGTCAATTTGGGCAGCAAACTATCATTTGCAACAATATTGGGTAAAAAAATTACAATTGTGACACATTGGCAACAAACGGAAAGTCCTGATAATACTTGGACAGCAAACATGCAGTCATGACTATATGCAAGAAGTCGGCATGATTGAATCCAGGCTGTTTGCCCCTCTAATCTTACCTGTGAGAAGTAAAAATATTTTTCCTCACACATCCTTTAAGGGACTAGAGGGAGGTATTGTGCAGGTTAAAAATGGGCCCAGATCATGACTACTCCCAGCTATTTTCTGCTCCACAGTGAAAGGCTCAGCTCAAGTTGCTTATGTGACCAGGAGTAGTTACACTGATAACTTGGTAATTGCATAACATGATACTCCATACCACTTTCAGAGTTTTCCGAGGTTTGGATTGGAATTGTGCTTTAAATGTTACTGTTGGTCTCCACTCAAAACTTTTTTTTTGCTTTGATGAGGTTGGGAAAGGGTAAGAGCCGTTGTCAGGTTTTTATTGCTGCATGTGCACCCGCTTGGGAGATTTCCCCTGACTTTCAATCCCAGTAACATTGTAAGCAGGAGAGGAAGTAATGTTAAATATCTCCAACAGGGATACAAAAGTAATAAAAATAAAATGTTAAAAATCTACAACGGGGACACAAAAGCAATACATTTTTTTTTCTAAAGTTGAGTTGCGAATGCCTCAGTGCCTTTTTTGGCTTTTGATTGTTGTCTGTATTCACTGTAGGACACGAAGTTAGAGTAAGTCTCCGGAGGGGTTATACATATTGCATTAAAAAAAACTAAGGGGTCTATTCATGAAGCAGCCGAAGGATCTAGCCGTAGCTTCGGCTGATCCTTCGGCTAGCTTCGGCCCCAGGACCCCTTCGGTTCAGCTGCTGTACGGGCTATTCACTATAGCCCGTACAGCTCCCGAAGTCGGCCAGGGGGCTCAGTCGTGCCGAAGGCATATGCTTTGGCTCGACCGAGCCGAGGTGAAAGCCGAAGCTGGCCGAGTGGCCGGCCATTGGCTGTCCGACAGCCTGCTTCTGACAGTTCTTTTTTTTTAACGGCAGCAGAACCTCTATTTTCTTCTCCTTTTTAAACTATTGTTCTGTTCTGCTTGGTCCCACAGAGGGACCGAGTAGAACAGCCGAGCCGAATGCCGCACAGCGGCATTTGGCTATTCACTCACTGCTGTTCGGCATCTATAAGAATAGACCGAACGGCAGCGCGTAGCCTGCCGGAGGTTCGGCTTAGTCAATCCAGATGTTGGATCGGCTGAGTCGAACTCCTTCTGCTGAGCATCTTTGGCCGCCCCGAAGCCACCCGATGTACGGCTGGTTTCAGTCGATATACAGCTGAAATCAGCCGTACCAACCTGAAGTGAATAGCCGAACAGCGTTCGGCTCACTTCGCTTCAGGTCGGTCACTCACTCGGCTGCCTACGGCAGCTTAGTAAATAGACCCCTAAGAGAAAAGTAACGCTGCCATCTAGTGGTTGAGCTAGTAATCGCAGTATAATATATGAGAATGGTTGTTGCACCTATATCTTGTATTTCCTACTTTGCTGAGAATTGGAACAACTATTTCTTACATCTTATAGTGACTCTACATGCTTGACTTCTTTAATCTGGGTACTACTCTTCTGGCTGTGGTTTAAATAATAAATATATTTTGGGGTATTCAAAAGAGAAAAAGGAACATGCATAGGTGTGTGCAAAAACTCAGCACCAAGTTGGACAGAAACAGTGTCAGGAACAACGGTAGGGAAATCTCACAACCAAAGCACTGATTGTGACGTACGCCCGGCCCAGACCCGCTGTACGTCAATCCCACGTGACCATACACAAGTCTGAACCAAGCGTGAGCGTCACAAGGACGTGGCGATAGCCCTCTCAGCCTCACCCTGCGCAGAGATTTCCCAGCTCGCAGGACACAATCTCAGGCCAGCAGACTGAGAGCGATCGTCACCAGAGTTGGTTAACTCCGCAGTTAACCCGTTACCCACAAAACTTCCACTGCCACCATGTGTTTTTCGGAACACAAACCGTGCCCAGCAAATGCTGCGACTATTCAAAACACTTAAACAATGCCTGTGATGCTGCTGTCCTCTCAGCTCTAAATACGAACTTAAAGTATCCTTGCTCTTTGAAGAGCGCTACTGTATAGTGAATCCTGTCATATTCCTGTCTAAGACTGGCCATGATATGCGTCATTTGCACTTTCTGACAGAGAGCCTGCATCAGTTCGGACACAAACTGCCCTCCACAATCACTAATCAGCTCAGCTGGGAACCCCACGCGGGTGAAGATCCCCAGCAAAGCATCAGCCACTTTGTCCGCACGGACAGAAGAGAGAGCCACAGCTTCGGGGTACCGGGTGGCATAGTCCACTACTGTCAGGATATAACGTTTGCCTGAACTGCTAGGAATAGCTAGTGGCCCAATAAGATCCACTGCTACCCTCTTAAAAGGTTCATCAATTACAGGCAAAGGTTGTAGTGGGGCCTTGTGCACATCTCCTGCCTTGCCAACCCGCTGGCAGGTAGCACAGGACCGACAGTAGTCAGCTATGTCCCTGTACATGGTAGGCCAGAAAAAGTTTTATGTTTCATTCGGTCCTTGGTCTTAGTGACTCCTAAGTGTCCAGCTAGGGGAACTTCATGAGCCACTTTCAATAAGTGTCACCTAAACTGTTTAGGCACAATGAGCTGCCTCATCTCCTGCTGTGTGTATGGGCTGCCTGTAAAGCTTTCCATTGTCCCAGGAAATCTGATACTGGTCTCCCTCAGCAGGGGGTTGTGCAGCCAGACTTCTGAGCTGTTCCAGTGTTGTGTCAGTCTGCAGAGCTGTCTCAAAGGCGGCACTGCAAGTCCCAGCCAGCTGTCCTGTGGCAAACAGAGACAACGGTTGGGAATCGCTGGAGGCTGAGCCCACTGGGTCAGAACCAGGAGAAGAGTTGGGAGCCTCCTCTCTCTGCTCTGAGGCCAGCCTCTGTGCCTCCGCCACCTTTGCAGCACTGCGAGTGACAGCAAATACTGACAATGTGTTATTGTCATCACATTTAACATTAACATTTTCAGAATGAACATTGACCATTGTATCATTCACATTTCCAGCATTAACAGTGACACAAGCATCTACTACACGTTTCTGTGTGACTGTCTCCACACCATCCCTAGGTGTAGAACTTTCCAATTCCACCCCACCCTCCTCCCCTCTCTGTTCACCCCCAAAATGCCCAGATGTCAACCCTGCATCTGTACACAGTACCTTGGTGTGTCCAAAGAGTTCGGTGGAAGAATCCGGGGTGTCTTCTGCAGGCACATAATAAGAAATCAGGGTTCCCAAGTCTGCACCCAATAAAACCGGGGTGGGAATTTCATCAGAGACCCCCACTTCTCTCATCCCGCTTCCGCCCCCCAATCAAGGAAAACACGGGCCCGAGGCACCTGGGAACGAGGGCCCCCACA